TAGTTATTGTATTGCAACCTTCATAACTTTCCTATGTAACAGAGTAGGGGAAAAGGGGATTGTTGAGCAGAGTATTACCATGTAAAGGTTATTATATATTTTCTTCTGTTATCTTACTTAATCAGTCTCCCTTTTTTTTTAACAGAATCTGCAGTTGGAATTCTCACAGATTGTTGGTTTTGGAGATAAGCCCCCACCTCCTGCATCCAAAGAATTTGTTGAGAGCCTTGAGACAATTATCGTGAAGAAGAATGGTAAGATAGCCCCTTCTTAGTTCACTCTTGTACAATATCTACAAAGTAGATGATTCCTATATTTAAAAATGTCTTATGCAGTAGAGCAGTAGTCTTCACAAAGAGATGTCCCTGTATAGTCAGACGTACATTATATCCCATTAAGGACTTGTCCAGGGCAGTCAAAACATGTTATCATTCACAAGCACACTGTTGATACAATTTCAGGAAGACGGTTGTACCATCTGATTAATGTATTTTTACCAGAAACATTACATAAACTGTCTTACAGGTGGCCAGTGCCCAGTGTGCCTCAAAGAATGGTCTGAAGGGGATGAGCAGAAGCAGCTGCCTTGTCAACACAAATTCCATCCCACCTGTATCTTACCATGGCTGGAGAAAGTCAGTGATGAAATTAATTTAGGTTCTAGTTAAAAGTCACTGTTTGTTGGGACTATATATTAATATTTCACTCATCATCTTTTAACACAAACTAATATGATTTCTCACGTTTTGGCAGACCAATTCATGTCCAATGTGCCGTCATGAGGTTCCTACAGATGATGAGGACTATGAGGAATACCGAAGGCAGAAGGTATGGCACAAGATATTGAGATACAGTATGCTTTCTTCAAGTATAGTATACTATTTTATGTTGATTATATGTTGCTGATGCTATATAAATCTTTACTATTTTGTTTTGATAGTTTCTTCATTCATGAATATTTGATGTAATACTGAGTAATATTTTTATTGTGGAGGACTATTTCTTTTAGTGGTGATTTTTTGTTTATCATATTTTGTTAGCATTAATCTTTTATTACTGTATTAGAAACAAGTGAGGTGTTTGTTTTCTTTATTGATATCAATATTTTAATATATCATAATGTTGATATTGATATTAATTTTTTGACTATTAATTTCTTCAATGCTAGTTTTAGACAACTTTTGGTGTATAATTATGAAGAGGATGATGTTGATTGTCATCATTATCATTATTGTAAGTTTTCTTTCATTGACAATATAGTAATGTACAGTAATATTTAAGATTTTGTGATTACTTGTTGCTGAATACAAATAGAAAACTGCTAAATGTAAGTAAATAAACAAAGGAAAAAAAAAATTTGTACTGGAGATAGCAGTCTCCACACAGAATTGCATGAATGAAAGAAACATGAAAATTTTTTTATCTTCGTTCTTTATATAAGGATAATGAGAAGATTATTAGGAGTTAGTTTCTTTTCACACGTTGCTTAATGGCTCATACCTATCGTGTGCTGAGCCAACTCACTTTTCCATGTGTGATATTCACTTCTTTTTCAAAAGAAAGTTCACCTATGCCCATGTCACCTGTGTGTAATTTGACTCCATACCTAGTATTCAGTTATGCCTTCAAAAATCATATCAGGAATTTACGCATTGAAAAATGTTTATGGTAAACAATTGTATCGCCAGTTATCAGCACAAAGGATGAGGCTGTTACAGTACAGTGCATCCCATTTTCATTGACACCATCTGTTTAGTAGAGGTGTAGTAAACTTGTGTCAGATTCTATTTGTAGGGATATTATGTCACCAAGTTTAAAATTTAATTAAGTAAGGTATTAGTTGGTAAGGGCAGTCAAATAAAAAATCACCAAATACAAAATTGCAAAATGTGAAATCACTAAATGTCAATGTGCCAAATATGAGGCTTTACTGTACAAATGTTTGCAGTTCCCATTTTCCACATCTAAGAAACTGAATTTTTATATCTATTGTTTTTCCTTTACAGAAGAGAGCCAGGGACAGGGAGGCAGAACTAGAAATACTTCATGACTCAATGTTTTCTTGAAGTGTTTTATGAATAAATGTAAAAAGATTTTAAAAAATGATAATTGATATGACTTTATAAAGGGATTTGAATGTCTTCATTGTTATTTTAAAATCGTAACTAATTTACTGTTAAATTTCTTTTATCTTTACTTCCTTTAGTATATGCATCCACTTGTGCCCTTTTCTTTTTTTATACATCCCCATCAAGTAGATTATTATTATTATTTTATTTTATTATAAGTAAATTTACCTATGAAATGTAGTAATTTTCATATGTTGGTAAACAGGTAAGAAAAAAATCATTTTGGAAGATATAACTATGAAACTGATAACTGATACTTAATAAATTATTTCAAATCTTGATTCCGCATTTTGGATTACCCCATTATCTTGGGGAGAAGGGGAAAGAAAGGAACGGAAAAGAATGATACAACTTCAACCAAACCTAACATTTATTAACATATTGATTTAATTCATGACATTTACATCCTGAGACTAGAATTCTAGCTTTTCATTTCAATTATCAAATTGTAGCACCATCAGGATATCTTCTACTGAGTGGCAGTAATATATTACAACACAGCCAAAGCTTGCAACATTCTTCTTATGCAATGTATAATACCATCACCAGCAGTTCTATCAACAAGAGAATAACACTTGGTGTCATTGTTTAGTAAACTTTACAAATAAATTCTGTACAGATTTTACCTGAGAAGACATGGAACTACTGGTTCTTCATCATAACCTTTTCCTTGGTGAGGGAGACTCTGTCCTCGGCAAAAGACTCAATGAGATGTATGAGATTTCCTGGAAGAACCCAACTATGAAGGAAGGCAAGTGAGAGGAGCCTTAAATTAACTTGGGAGGGGGGCTTGGGTTAGCTGAAGAAGAAAGTACTGCGCAGGACGTTTGATATGTCAAAATCTCCCTTGGGTGGCACTTTGCCTAATAGATTGTTGAGCCGCATCTTGGAGGAGTCTGAAGCTGACCCATCATGTGCAAAATCCCTGTTGGAGAAGAGGACAGGTTTGTTAGTGCATCCAAAAAAGATTGAGAAATATAAGCATATGCATGCAGGCAGGCATGACCAAGTACAACATCTATAAAAAAAATATCATGAAAATATTCCTTCAATTGTGAAATGAAATACTATTCCAATAACATTCTCTAGTTTTCAATGACATCCCCCCTCTTTAATTTCAAAATAATCTAAGGAAAGTGCAAGATATTTTTTACCCCCAGATAAACATTCTTTATTTTGACATTACCTGCGATCATAACCAAATTTCTCTTGGAGGAATAATGATAAGTCTTCCAGGATAGGCTCACTGTGTAGGGCTACAAACTGGTTGCGACACACCTGTAATTAGGAATAACAAAATGAATAATAAAGAATGGTGTGGGTAGGAGGTAAGGTGAGTGAAGTAGGTTATAAAAAGAACATCTGGAAAGGGAGAGAAAAAAAGAGAGAAAGAAAGGAAGAAAAAAGAAGACATCCCTAGAACAACCGCAAAAATCCAATTCTAAAAGAGGGACAGAGACTTAAAAGAAAAAAAAAAAGAAAAAAAGAAAAGAAAAGAAAAAAAGCAATTCCTTTCCTTCCATGATGAGAAATTGAAAGAAAAAAAAAGATATGCTGGATTAAGAACTAACAAAATCTCAACCCCTTGAGGGAGGCAATGCTTAATAGTATATACAGAAATTCATTAAAAATGTTCAAATAATAATACCAAAATACAATAAAGCCAACCTATCACATACCTTGTTCATGATGTCCACTGTGTTGGCATGTGTCCAAAAACAGTCATGAACTGAGACAAAGGTGATACCTGCTTGTTGGCAGAAAAGTGAGGTAAGCATCATGTGTGATGAGTCAAGAGAATGGATGAAGTTAGGTGGGAAAGCATTCTTCTGCTTCATTACGTTTGGACGCCTGAAAGAGGTGAAGATCTATGTTAATTTTCTCTTGCCACTCTTGTGGATTGGGTAGTGTTATACATGTCCTCTTTGAGAATATTGAAAAATTTCAGGTCTTTTTAACCAGTCAAGTTTTAATTATTATCTTTTATCAACCTAACATTTATCCTAAAGTTTATAAAAGAAAATAGTAAAAAAAAGGAAAAAAGAAAATGGGTTCAAAAAGGGTGCTACATGGCTTATAAATCAGACAAATAGCTTTGTCATAGGCCTTGACACAGGAATTTGGAATGGCCCATGTGATTTTCTAATTCCCATAAGTCAATTCTATTGCTCATGACCTTTGCTCAATATACGGATCACCTCCTAAATGAAAAAACAGGGAAGTCTACAGGACAAACTCACATAAATGAATCCATGCTATAGGATGATGGTAACTTTTCCATACAGATTTTTATTCCCCGATGTCTTGCTGTATGGCTGCACCACGGGGAAGCCCAAAGGTGTTACCCACTCTATGTTCTCACTCCGTGTCTGTGTGAGAAGAGAACAGAACTGTTTAGCAGGCATTACTGGATATAATGCAGCGTCCATAAACAATGAGTTTCCATCCCTTATCTATTTTTCCAGCAATATTTTGTTTGGTAACAACTGCAACAACTGATTTTCATATATTCTTTTCACAAGTCGTATGGATGACTGCATATGGTGGATTCAAGAAATTACAACATAACGGACAATTTTGTCTTAAAATTCTAAACGTAATTCATATATCACTGAAGCTAGTGCATGGCAGGATGGTATATTTATTATCAGTCAGCAATTACCATTTGTATCATCTGCATTCAATTTGTTAACAAAAGCTACATACCATGATTTGCATGGCCAGGCAAAAGACTTGGAATTGTAGCATTTGTTGGCAATTTTAGCACAGATAATAACCTAATAAAAACAACAACAATAATAATATGTAATAATAATAACAGCAATAATGATAATGGTAGTAATAATAATAGTGGTAATAATAATAAAAATAATAATAATAGCAGTAATAATTGTAATAATAATAATAGCAGTAATAATAATATAGCAATAATAATAATATAGCAATAATAATAATAATAATATAATAATAATAATAATATAATAATAAATAATAATAATAATATTCAATGGTAAAACATTCCTAATGACCATCCTTGGCCAATTTTTTTATAACAAGACATCCTTGTCACCAGGATGAAATGGCAGGGGTAAAAAAAGAAAGAAAGAAAAGAAAAAGAAAAGAAAAAGAAAGAAAGGAAAAAAAAATAGGAAGAAAAAAAAAGAAAAAAGAAAAAGGAAGAAGAAGAAGAAGAAGAAGAAAAAACAGCAAAAAAAAATAAGTTGCTTACAACCTAGAAAACAATATACACCAAATCACCTGTGCAATAACACGTGCACACTCGGTGAACCAATCCTGGATCTCCTTGGTGGCAGTAAACATTTTCTCGAGGCTGTGGAATGTCTTGTGTACCAGATACTGTGAAGCTGCCCAGCGCTGGTCCATGGGAAAGTCATCCAAGGCTGCAATGGGAGGAAATAATAGAAGTCTGATGTCTTCTTCTTATTTGTACAGGCTTAAGGAGTTGGGAAAGAAATGTAATCCTAAAGGGAAGAAAGAGAAGGGAGGATGGAAATGATGATGGCCTCATAGGCAAAGCTTCAACAGAAACAATAAAAAATAACATGCTAATCCCAGAAATATGTTAACCCACCCGCGCCGGGTACATTTTGTAGCCAAAATTTAAAAAATCCGGGCAGCTACAAATCGGTGGGCGGAGCTTCCCCGGAGTCTGTCCGCCCACCCGGCCGCGCGCCGCTTTCTGCCTCGGAGCGCGGCTTCCGAGACAGCATCGCACTGGCGGGCAGCCCGACACTGTTTATTTTTTTTCCCTGTGTCTCATATATGTGACACCCGGGACGAATGGGTTAAAGCAGATTTCTGAGAAAATGGTATATTTCTTTGGAGTATTCATTCTTAACAGATGACAAATAGGTTTGATGGGTAGCACAACAAAAGCAGATTATGCATTAAAGTAAACATGTTTATCTCAATAGAATTGAATTATACTAGGTAGATTCAGAAACTAAAAGGCATCATGCTACCAAACAGGCACTAAACTAAGAATTTTTATTTGTATAAAATATTGCGACTGTCTAATTGTGTTCCTGTTTGAAGCCTTTTTATATTCCCTGGAAGAATCTAAATACCTATCTGTAAAAATATGCTAACTACACCATAGTAAATACCCTAATACTTGTAATAGACACTTGCCACTAAATATAACTTTTTTGTCAATTCTATTTGGCAACTCATCCTATTCATATTGCTGGACTTTTAGTAACTTGGAAATTACTTACAAGGACACACAACCCATACATTTATATATCAAGACATTCGTTTTAACTACAATCTTGAGATTCTACTCCTATGAGACTGGAAAGAGAAAAAATACCGAGTTAATGACAGACTGAAAAAAAATGCAAATTTATATTATATGTACCATGGGAATCCATACAGTTTCACTTGACCCCAAGAATAGTGGCAACTGGAATAGGGGTTAAGTTGGTAAGGAAATAACCAGTGCAGCATATAACAATGAAATTTTCAGCTGTTGTTATTGTGAAGGAAGTTAGGAGAAGGAATGATGATTGTACAAAAATGGAAAAATAAAATATGGAATCAGTCCTAGCAATGAAACATCCACATACCTTTCAACTGTTTCTCAATCTGCAGTCTAGCACCAATCGAGTCACCCATATACAGTTGTCATGACAGTCTGTTTGATGACTTTTCGTCTCACAAAACCTTCCAGGACTTTGCTATCTCCTTCCCCATTTCTGCATCCTTCTTTCCTTTCTTCCTCCACAAGCACTGCCACAGCTGAGTAGACATCCTGCAGCAGGAGATATGAGGTAATTTAGGTTGTGGTTGAATTCTTGTGAGATCAGTAAATGCACAAAAGTTAAGCTAAAAGAACAATATTATCATCATTTCTTCATTCAACTTAACCTGACCAATCCCATCTCTTTTCCAGAGGGTAAAACTGGTGAAATAGTCTTATTGATACTTTTTTCCACAAACATTTT